TACTCACATGAGTAACTGAGTACTCACTGAGTAACAATACTCAGAAATTGTTAGTAGTACCAATATGAGTACTCATGGACGAATTATGAGTAAAGTCGTACTCATCGTATGAGTACTTTCACTAGGGAGTGAATATAAAATGACTTTTCTGTTGTTTATAACTAGCCCAAGTAGAGCGAACAGTGGACATAAAAACAAGTTCAGACGTGTTCCAAACTACTTGAAGAAAAAGCGTTTCATCAAGCGCCGAGACGCATTTCCTCCGTTCGAATCGCGTTCGCAGGCGCTTTTTGTCTCGTTTTTATCTTGAGTGAAAAATGCGATGCATGTGAAACAATGGCTGAACTTTTTCAATAGTAGGCGCGTCTAGACGACCCAAACATCAGAACATTGGAGACCTTTCGATCGTGAGAAGCGCATTTGGACGCGTTTCCGTTTCTTCTTCGGAAAAAGACACATCTAAGGGCGTCTGCAGTTAAAATGTTTTGTTCATATTGGCCTAAAAGCTCTAAAACGTGTGGCCATGTTTGCACTCTCGAACAAACTCGTTCGCTCGAGATCGAGAGACGCATCTGAACGAACTTTTTTATGAAAATGAGAATGGACGCGTGTGGATGCTCGTCTGTATGACAAAATTTTCTAACGGACAGATTAATAAAATCAAGTCTGTTTCTGGAAGTTTACGCCGCTTCCGACAAAATCATCGGCGAACATCTCTCTCTCTCTCTCTCTCGCATATATACCTCTTAGTGCGTCAAACTCAGCAAATGGATCACATGGTACAGGTACTAGATGGAATGCAACTTGTGCTTCACCGATACCAGTTTTTGTACGAGCTGCCCAACTGTTGATCAAATCACTTAGAATGCATGCTGTCGCCACTAACCAACGTATTTCTAATTCAAATAGACAATGTGGATTATAATACGAATGATAATGAGCTGTTGCCCATTCAGTACGATCGCTTTTATTAAATGGATCAACATCAACATTGCAGTTTCGTCGTAAGTCTGGGAGAGGTGGAGAGACAGTCGAAGATCCAATTCGGATCATATTTTCATTATTTCTACTTAACGAAGACAATTGAGCCGATTGTAAAACGTGATTAGGTTGTTGTTCACTATGAAAATTCGATTGTATTGATGGTTTGGGTTTACTATCATCACCAATTATTTTTGGTAACAAACGCATCGATTTTCGATCACGAAACGCTTCAAAATCCATTGATGGTATATACTCATGGACTTTGAAAAATTCGACTTCAGCATAATCATTAGCTTCTAATCGGACTAAAAGTAAAATAACACGTGTTAAACTTCAAATTTACACTTAAGAATATTGTAAAAACGAAATTAAAAATACAAGAATATGAATGACAGATGGCAGTGCTGATACTAATATTTTTGAATATTAGATTTGTGAAATGTAAGGTTCCAAGAGCAAATTTGATTTTTCAAACATCTCCATCTGAATACTTACAATCCTTTGTTCTCTCTGTCACGATGTAATACAGAAAGAAGCCAAATCGATAATATTCTTTTTCTTGTCCCGTACAATGCCGAATGACACCTTTTGTAAATAATGTCTGAAAATTGATGTGTTACATTTGTAGATAATTGTAAGAACGTTGCCCTCATTTTAACTAACTTGTAGAAATTTTAATGCCATTTGTTCATTTTCAATATCTGTACAATGTTCAATACACCACCAAACAGCTTCGACACTGATGAATGAATAGTCCGGTAATACTCGTGCATTTAGATCAGATACGAATGGTAGTGATTTAAAAGCTTGCGTAGGCAACGATGATAAATCGCCATTCAATATTTGTTCAGCTGAGAATGTTTGTACTGGTCTAGTACGAAAAAAAAGCAAATTTGAAATATTAGTATGTGTGAGAGTAAAGTAACATTACTTATTTGATCTTTTTGACAAATCGATCTTTTTCTTACCGGTGACAGGATCCAACGGCTATTAAGAAAAGGCATAATGAACGGTTGACAATATCAATTAAAGATTTGCGACGTTCTTACTCTGTACACACGCTCTTGAGCAAGATATTTTAGTTTATTTAACATATGTAAAAATCGAATAAAATGTTCAATATATTGGTAAAATTGTTCGGGTGTTAATTCTGCTCGACTATCACATCTTCGAGCGCCAGATTCAATCATTTTCGGTGTATATTCAAAGCTGGCTGGCATAAGAACTAAACGTGTACGCCAATATTTCATCGTCTAGTCAGACAATGAGAAGAAATAGGTGAAAAAGTATATTTCACTTCGTTGTTATTAATTACTTCAAGTAATTGATTGTCTCCAGTACCATGTGTACAAACAACATTATCAACAGAATTCCAAGGATACTGTTCTAAATTTTCTGGTTGTAATTTAAATTGGGCTGGATCATAAAATGCAGAATCGGGTGCTTGAAAACGATATTTATAATCCACACATTTTGCTGGATTTGGATGTCTAAAAAGAGCAAAATAATTACACGGAGAAACAACTTGCGGACCACTTCATCACAGTTTATGTGATTTGATTTCTGTAGAGCGGGTACCTTGAGGCTTGTGTAGGTAACGCGACACTGCACTGATCAAGTTTTTTTGAATTTTTTTCATCGGAAAATCGATAGGGGCACTTCACAAGACGTAGCTTCTCATGCTGATCACGAATCTGACTTTTTTTTGAAGAAAACAAAATAATTTTCAATATAAAAATTTTTATTTCAATTTTCTGACCTAGACATGTTCAAAAAATTTTGAAAACATACCATTAAATAGAGAATTCAATTCTCTACAAAATGGCTCATTTTGTTTTGAGATCTATTTTTCAGTCGAGACACTATGGCTGCTTGAACATTTCAGCTTCTGCCTTGGTCTAAAAGCCTCAGAGAATTTTTCGAACTTTATTTTCAGCTGGAGTCTTTTCAGGAAACCCAGAACTACACAGACTATAAGTATGAAGTTTTCTGGACAACGTTTAGTGCCTAAAAGTGATGCGACAAAAAAGTGTGCCACAGCGTTACCAAAAATGTCACAGCGTTACGTTACAAAATCGATTTTTCTAGGCGTGCGGAAGGGTTTGAGAAAAAGTATTTTTTTATTAAAAGAAAGCTTTTAGCTCCTCTACAAATTTGCCTCTAGAAACTGTGTACAAACACAGGCTGTATATCTGAACAGCGAATTGAGCTGTGTAACACAGCTCAATTCGCAGGAAATCAGAGCTGTATCAGGCGTTCTCAAAAAATAGGGACCTTTCTGTCACAGCGTTACTCGCCGAAAAATCTTTCTAGAAGCTCGAATCTTGAACCGAAAATCCTCATTCTTATATCGTAAGTAGAGTTTGGTGAGCTGCATCGAATGACCAGAACGAACCTTTTAGCGCCTACAGTTTTCGAGAAAAATGCAAATTACTGTGTCCACATGTCACAGCGTTACCTTTCGACAAGCCGCTTGCATCAATGCAATCAACTAAACAAAGGACAATATTCAAGGAAAAATTCCTTAAAGCTCCTCATAATTTAATCTGCTTTAGAAAAATGTTTTTGCTATTTCTACGAGCAGAAATATCAGAAAGAGTTCGCTTATCTTTTTTTCTATTATGGATCTAATGGACTTTTTATTTTTAATATATCACGAACAGAAGAGGTCTCCTCTACTTATACTCTTCTTATTTCATCAATAATACCGTTTGAGTTTTCAAACTATATATAATAAAAAAGGACGGGAACGTATAAGGTCAGAAATCGGTCCACTCTCTTTTCCGAGTAAAAATGGGTTCACATAAACGAAAAACGCCGCACAATTCCATAACAGATGAAAACAGATACATCTGTTAGCTAAAACCCCTTAATTTCTCCACAATATCGTTCCCATAGGCGACCTCAAAACAAGTCCTACATGATCAATAAACGATACCTCTATCATACTTCTCACACACAAGTAGACTAACAAAACACATGAATCGATAGCCCTTGAAATCCTCTACAAACTGAGCTAGTCAGAGTATCTCAACCGGTTGCGCCAGCCCGCACAGACATGCACAAGAAACGTTCAAAGAACACTCTTTTAGTCAATATTTTCTGAGAAAACGAAAAAGTATACTCTTTTCTATAATATACTATTCGATAGCCCTTGAAATTCCCTACAAACTGTGAAAGGGCGTTATAGACGGCCGAGAGATATATTATTTTGCTCAGAATTCTTTGCTCTATCCGGCTATATGATTTGAAAAATTTTTTGACCAAAAACCAAAGACTTGGTTTTTAAGCGGTCAGGTTTTCCAGAAACCATATTAGCAGGTTTTCTCACAATAAGACGACATCGACCTCATCTAATAGAAAAATCTTCAAGCTATGCAACACAATATTCTGAAGTGTTCCAGCTTTTACTGAAACATCAAAAAGAAAGGAGTTCCTACGATTATGACATGCTTTACTGCATAAATAATACCCAAACACTTCTTTTGCATATCTATAATGGTTGACTCCAGCAGTCTAGACATTCTGACTAGCTTAGTTTGTAGAGAATTTGAAGGGCTATCCAACGGAATATCTTTAAAACATACAGAATTTTTCACCAGTACAGGAAAACTGCACGTGTTCCGCGTACTCCAACGCTTCTTTTGTATGTCTTTGGTAACTTGCCCGACCAGTCGAGACATTCCGACTAGCTCAGTTTGTAGGGAATTTGAAGGGCTATCGAACAGTATACTACAGAGAAGTGTGTAATTTTTCCTTTTGGGAGAAAATATGACTAAGGAATGTTCTACTGGTGTCTTCGGCACTCGAACACTTCTTTTGGATGTCTGTGATGACTGGCCGAACGGATCAAGACATTCCGACTGGAGTTTGTAGGGAATTTCAAGGGCTATCGAATAGTATATTATAGAAAAGAGTATACTTTTTCGTTTTCTCAGAAAATATTGACTAAAAGAGTGTTCTTTGAACGTTTCTTGTGCATGTCTGTGCGGGCTGGCGCAACCGGTTGAGATACTCTGACTAGCTCAGTTTGTAGAGGATTTCAAGGGCTATCGATTCATGTGTTTTGTTAGTCTACTTGTGTGTGAGAAGTATGATAGAGGTATCGTTTATTGATCATGTAGGACTTGTTTTGAGGTCGCCTATGGGAACGATATTGTGGAGAAATTAAGGGGTTTTAGCTAACAGATGTATCTGTTTTCATCTGTTATGGAATTGTGCGGCGTTTTTCGTTTATGTGAACCCATTTTTACTCGGAAAAGAGAGTGGACCGATTTCTGACCTTATACGTTCCCGTCCTTTGCCACTAAGACGAGTTATCAAATTCAGAGTGTTTTTATCAATTTTTTTTTATCAAAGTTTTTGGTGAAAATCTCAGTAATTAATTATTCGACGTCAAAATTCGAGAAAAAAACAAAGTGGTCGGATAGGATAAAAAAAGTATATCATTCTGCTCGGTTTACGACGCTGACTCCGAATATGATATTTTTATTGCATGAAAAGTAAGTTGTAGTGTAGAAAATAGCGAATTACGGGTAAAATTCCGATTTCTTCGCGCCTAATTCAGAAAAAATGTACTTTCTCAGTAAAGAAACAAATTTAAAAAAAAGGCGATGCATTCTGTCAAAGCTCGTTTAATGGCGGTCCTAATGAAATAAAAAAGTCGGCTTCATCTCTTCACAAAAAAAACGAGATAGGTTTGCAAAATTATTTAGGAACTTTGTACAGGGAGAGTCCAAGTCGTCCATACTCAATAGACCTTTGACTTCAACTTCGATCAAGTATCATTCTCATGCTCAGTTTTTAATACTGAATTCGAAAAAAATACTTTTGAAAAGTTAGAAGACGGAAAAAGAAAAAAACTTGAACTTTTTTTAAACCAGAGGATTTTTCGAAATTTGAGATCCTTCTATTATTTTGAAGATTTTTCATTCGAAAACCAATTTTTTAAAGTTAGAATGTAGATATCAGAGCTCCGTATAGACTCAAAAATCTGAGTTCAGTCCGAGTCCACGAAAAACAGTTTTTTCAGTCGATGGACTCTAAAACAGCAGTCCACAAAATAAAAACAACCTGTTTTTCCTCGATTCAAGTGAATCCAAAATTTTTTCGCGTCCAGACCAATCCATAGTCTGGAAAATTTGAGTCCTGTCTGAGTCCATGAACTGAGACAATTTTCAGTCCAGTCCATTCGGAGCTCTAGTAGATATTCTGGATCAGCTCGTCGAGCTCTATCGAATGATGTATAATTAAGCCAAAAGTAAAATGATGTGAAAAATTTGAATTTGGTGCACCTTACATTTATCTAAGTAGTATTATGCTATGAAGGAACGCCCGATTATATATAAGACAGAACTAGCATTGTTTCATAGAGCTTGTGTTCATCAGAGAAGTAAGAATGCTCTTTATTTCAAACAAACATCCGAATCAAATATATTTTTTTCTTCATTTTTCCTTTTGTGCCGTTACTGCTATTAGAGGCAAAATATCGTATGAGCGATATTCAAAAACAGTGAATTTTATTGAGCAGAAGAGATATTGGCACTTCATAGATAAATTTATCATAATTAGAAAGAAATATAATGTGAAATAATCATGTCTACCTTTGAGAATTATCGTAAAACACTCTCCAAATGGTATGTGTATAATAATTAATTATTCAAATTGTATAGTTGGTCACAGTTCTTGAAAGTTTTACAAAATTTCTAGAATATTGATAAGTTCCTCCAAATTTCTGAAACGCAGCCAGTCAACAGTATTTTATATCAGTCGCTTCCTAATGTACCGTAGTTTGATCTGATAACACTATTTTAAATTAATTGATAACAATTTGATCTACTTACTGTGGTTTATGTTGCTGTACATAAATTTCTACACTATCTTCGGTTGAATTTTCACCAATTACAAGACTGAGAGTATGATAGATACGTCCCACACTAGAATCAACAAACGAATATCCTAATTTCATAAGCTGAAGCTGATGTCATATGTAAAGTATAATGCAAAACATGTCTTTCTCCTTTTTCATTACCTTAGCAAACCATCAATATCAAGACTTTTATAACCCGATTGAGTTATTGAATCTTCCATTTTTTTTCTGATAAAGTCTGGCATAACCACCATTTGAAAACCCTTTGAAAAAAATTCTTACAGAAGTAAAAATCAAGCAGTGTAAATGAAGCTGAAATATTTTATACCTGTGAGAGCCGCTGATCAATTAATTCATCTAGTATGGCTTTTCGTCGACGAAGCGTGGCATCTTGCCTATTAAATTTTAATAATTCAAATAATTATTTTAAAAGGCAAACTAAACATACATACGTGCCATCAGTTCCACTTTCGGTGACTGCCAATTTTTTCTTTGGTGGCAACATATAAATTAATGTATATGAATTTTGCTTATATTCACGATTAATTTCTTCCATTGGTGGAACATAATCAAATGTTAGAGGTAAACAGGCTGGAATCGTTAAAGATCTCCAATCAATGCCTTAAACGAAGCAAAATAACGATTAATAATGTGTACATATTATCTTAAAGATGCTAATTTTCTTCAAAGTGACTAAACTAATCTGCCAGAACTGTTAGTTCACATCTCTTTACTCAATCACATCGAGAATAAAATAGAAAAAGAATAAAAGATACCAGTAATCATTCCTGCATTCCATGGTTCAACACCAGTTGGTCCCCATAGGATAGCTTTTGGTTTTTCTTCTAGAACAATAATATCTTAATAGAGCAATAGACATCATCCACATAAAGTGATGCCTACTCTTTGATAATGGTTTTGTTGTGGGTATTGGGGATTTATGCCCCTGTAATATTTTCGAATCTTGATCTACCATTGAACCTGTTCTTCTCTTCGATGGTATCACTTGATCATCTCCAGTATCATCTGAATTGTTGGCCTTCTCGATCATTCTCACAGGAGATTGAACAACTCTATAAAACAATGAAAATTTATTTGTAATTCTCTTCTTTATTAGAGGAACAAAAAGCAAATCTACTCACCTTCTTGGTCTGCTTGTGCCATTCAAATCACTTCCCATTTTTGAATGCTGGTGTTTAGGTAACAAATGTCTTATCATTTTTGTAGTTCCTGGCACTACCTGTGAGAAGTATAAAAATTAGTATAATTCGGTTGATGTTGTTTAAAACATACCCTATGAGCATGTGCAAATAAATTCACTGGAATCTTTCTTGTCGTTTTATCATTTGGCCTCAAATGATGGAAATGCCATGGCACATCATTGGGACCTTGAATACAAAAGATAGAATTTACCAAGTATTGTATGAAAATAAACTAGTTCATTCTATATACCTATCGGAAATGTATGTGCCCATCGTCGACGGGTGTATGTCATTGGTATTCTAATGTCAGCTGGAGCGAACGGATTGAACAATGCTTTTGGAGGTGGATGAAGTCTTGCATGACCTTCTGTAAAAAATGTTTCTGCACTTTGAGCCATCTGTCGAAATATACTTGGTTGCTGTGTATAGGATGAATTGTAAATATGATTGATACTTGATGGTTGATGAAATGTCAGAGCCAAATCATCTTTGATACTACCATCTAGGACAAAAACATAAAATATTGTTGTAGACAACACTAAATGCTGACTATACTCGAGTAATTTGTGTTACTGTTGTACCGTTCAGGGAACTTAAAATATATAATATGTATTGGATAGAACTCAATGAGATGACTCTAATGAGGTGTTATCGACTTCTGTTTAGCTTGATTATGAGATGACTGACTCAAAAAATAATTCTGCACAGGTTACATTGTATTTCTGCGCACATGCTGATAAATGCACATCAAAGAATCGGCACATATCTAGAAAGAGCAGTCTAGCAAAGACAAATTTGCTGATGTATGATCAGTTATTTATTTCTCAGACACAGGAATTAACGATTTTCCTCGAAGTTTCGACAAAACTCTACGTATATTTTTCTTAAATATTGTACGTCAATGAATTCTGAACTTGTGCTAAACATGGAAAGTTAGTCATAGTTAAGTCTCTATCATTTTTGAGTATGAATGAAAGATATACTTTGACCGAGATCTCTAGCAATCCCCAATAAATAAAATCATCTAATCAAAGTCAAAAACTGGGAGGAATTGTAGTATTAGTCGTGTAGGGTGGGATGACAATAATACTTTCAAAAATTCACGAACAGTTTGAGGAGGCAGGTCAAGAGGAGCATATTTTTCAAAAACTGGGTTATCGTGAAGAAAAAACATGTTGAAGATCTGCTCTTTGTGTCATTTAGACAACCTTGAAAGTTGCTTTTATCTGATTTTATATTGGAAAGCATATGAAGATATCACTGCAGAAATTTGCTATCCTGGCTCTCATCCAAATCCTCAAAATCACAACTTGTGATCTGAAAACGACCGCGTTCCACATACTTTTATAAGTAGGAGTTGGAGTTTCACATACTCTTTGATAGTACTACACGGTGGACATGGTCAGGTTTTGACGAACTACAGTCGTGTGTACAGTGTATGGACGAACCAGTTTTCTAACATATCGAATATGAACGGTACAATAGTATATAATATGGATACGTACTTAAGATCAGTCGTAATTCTTTGTCACTATCATTATCTATCCAAGGATTATGACCGTTATTGTGATTAATCAATATTCCGCCACTAATTTTAATTTCATCATCTTCACATGGCGTTGGATCTACTTAAACAAAAGTTTTGATAATAAAATATACGTACATGTTACTAAATTGATTATACGTACAACGTACATAACCCATAGTGACATGACGTTTTTTTAAATGATCGGTTGTTCTAGCAGAATCTGAAGCATATTTATCAATATATGGATTTTTAACTGATCTAAAAAAAAGAATAAAAAGAACTTGTATAATTAGAACAGAGAAATAAATAAATAGTATTTACCCTTTTGGCTGTGTTCTGAATACTTGATCATCATAGTCTTCACCAGATAAATGTGGTACTTTAATAAAACTCTCTTCAATCGACGAACTAGAATCAATTGGTTCTAAAAAAGAATAGTTTAGTTATTAATTCTATTCAAAACACGAAATAATTTTTACTTAGTTTATCCTTTTTTATACGATTAGTATCGAACAGTAATCTTGGTGTATATCGTTTAAAACATGAGGGAGCGGTTGAACTATGATAATAACTAAAGTAACAAAAATTAAATAGAGTAGATAATACTCCCTCTTGGATCTGTTTCATCAAACCTTAAGTTCATCCAGTGAGGGATCTGATAATCTCGAGCAACATTAATACTCTCATTAAAAAATTTAAATAATGGAACAGCGAATAACGGTTGCTCACCCAAGCAAACTAGATCACTACCAATTCCTAAAGTATGACAAAAAAAAAGCAACATTCAATCACATAAACTGCCGTTAATCTGAACCAGTCACTTTTTTTAATGATTCTATATTAGCTGACGAATCAAGAAGAATCACTAAATAAACTTTCTTGATGCAATCTTCAACTACATTGCCAATAAAATTTCAAAATTGTATACCGTTATCTAACACTCGTTGTTTTGTGGTATTTGCTAATTCTCGATCAACTTCGAACACTCCACCACCTGGTGTGATAATTAACGACATTTGACCAAGGCGATCAAATGGACGATCAACATAATGTCGTTCAAATACTGAAAAATATCAATATAAAAGATTAAATTACACAAAATGCGTTCTCAATTCTTACCACTTGATGATAAATTTAATGTTTCAAGAAAATTTCCTTCTGCTGCACATGATATTGTTGCTTTCGGTACTTTATCATCTTTCAAACGTCTACGATGATAATTCAAAACGTAATCTTTATATTCGACGATAACTTGTTTGATTCTAATTAATTTTGGTAACCAATCATCGTAACGTTCATTCTGATAAATAACTCTAGAAAAAAGAGACAATATATATTGTATGATCGTAGTCTATAATTATGTTTGATAAAAATGATTTCTATAATTTAGTTTACTAACCGATAAAAATCTTCGTAGAATCGTCCACGATAATCTCGTGTGATACAATAACGCATTTGTTCTGGAAAATCTTCAAGTTCTGAAGCATTGTAAAATACACGAGAAAATAACGTCATTGTAACATCATGTTGACATGAAAATTGCTAGATGAAAAATAAATCAAATGTTATTGTGTACAATATATGAAAAATAATTAAAAAAATATACAATATTACCTTCCATCTTGTAAATAAATCAGATAAAAATCCATCAACTGCTTTTTCATAATATGTATCACCATTCAAATCAAAATCCCACATTTCTTTACTCATTTGTAAAAATAATGTACAACATGCGCTCAATGAACGAAATACAAACTACAAAAGAGAAAAACAAATATAAGTTAATTATCGATTAACAAGTGGAAAAGATAAACACACTTTTGTATGTTTTGTGACATAACCGGATGATACACGATAGGGTGCATTTTTCACCCACAGACCATAAACAGTAGCACTACAATAAAATTAGAAAAATATATTATTGGTATGTAAGTTAGAAATAAATAGCAAACTAACCGCATGCTAAATATTTCAAAACATTTCTTTAGATAAACAGTAGTATTAACCTAAGTTAAAATAATAATTAAGATCAAAAATCAAACGAAGAAAACCAAGTGATGAGATTCCATACTAGTTTTCTTGTAAAACGCCACATATCTCCACGACTAAAATACTGTTCTCTTAACGTTAACTCCACTAAATAAAGTTCAAAATCCTAAAACAACAAAAACATTTATTTGATATTGTTTTTATCTAGTTCTTCACACAAGATACAAACCTCTGGTTTAGATACTTTATGTATATTATATTTTTCATATAGTTTTATAGGAAATGTTTTTGCAATATTTAAATCAATGATAATTTCTAAAATATTATTGTGAATTCATCATGATTGACACAAAACTGTTGATGCTTTACCTGGTGTACGAGCATTCTGGTTTTCTTTGACTTCATCCACTTGTAAAACGATTCTTTTAGTACCATCTTCAATTAGATCAAGTACGAACAAATCACCTTTTGCTAAATTTGCTTTTGATACTGTAAGTGGTACATCATTTACTACAAACGGCAAATTAGAAGAAAGTTAAAATTTAAAGTTATGCGTATGAATACGTACACGATGCTCCTGGTGTTCGTACTGTGCCATTCACTTTACATAACAATCTAATTCAAATAAAAAACATTAATTAATGGAAAAAATGCCAATTAAGCAGATTTTATTGCGCGAATTCTGTCTGTTGATGAGTCTGTTTCTATCCTAAAATTCGAGATTGATTGCCTTCTTACCATTATCACGCGACACCTAGAACAGCCTAAGACTGTTTTATTCACGAAAAGTGAGTCATCAAGGGTCCCCGACCTGTAATAAAAATGGCTCCAGCCAAACAACACCAAAAGAATAATAAAAAATAACAAAATGAAGTAAAAAAGTAGTATTACTTTTTTGGCGGAACATCAAAGAGCGTGGGTATTTGGGATCCTCCCCCCCAATCCCTCACAGGCAACGTGGTATCCAAACTTTTTTAAAAATATAAGCAAAAAAGAACAAATATAAATTCTTCACTGGCAAACGTTTCACTGGAAGTGATACTGAAGTAAAGCTGTTTTGAAAGACATTAAAGAAGAAAGAGGAATAACTGACTCTGAGAGATTATTTCAATCAGCAATAGTTGAATAAAAAAAAGAAGAATGTACCGTTTGCGGAGAAAAACCATCAACAGAAGATGGGATGCAAACATATTTAGAGTGATAAAGACGTAAAGATGAGTAGTGAGGACGATGAATAGTACAAAAAAGAGAAACGTGACTTAGACGATGATAAATTTTGAAAAACTGTAGAAGTCTAAAGTATTTACGACGAAGAGCGAGATTTCGAAGAGAAAGTTGAGACATAAGTAGAGAACTAGAAGAACGGTAGTCAAAATTGCGAGAAATAACACGAGAAGCAAATTTGTATACAGGATCAAGAACAATAAACTATCATATAAGGCACAGCAATAGTCAGTTTTAGGAAGGATAGAAGAAAGACAGATTCGACGCCGAACTTCAGTTGGAACTAATCCAAAGATACGATTCAATGGCTTGCGCCGACAAGCAAGAACAAACATACCGCACTATCACTAAGAAGAGGATCATTCAGTAGAAACGCCAAAGTCTAAATACAACTACAAATTCATAAGCAGAAAAGATAACACGTACTTTGTTCCTTCCAGTCGAGGGGGATTTAAAACTTTATTTGTATTCACTAATTGTTGTTGTTTTGGAGAAGATGTTCTGTTCGTACGCAGATTCACCATCTTAAATTAGAAGTACAAATTGTGACCCAAATACAAGTGCATGAATGGTCAATACTTGTTGCGTTAGAGAAGCAATGGCTTTTTCGAAAAAATATTTTTTATGGTCTCCTTCCCTCTTTACCAACTGATTTTTCACATGTTTGAGCGTGCGACTCTTAAGTAAGGTCACATCGGCTAATGATGAGTGTGTACATTCATCTTTTTCTTTCTCTCTGAAGACATCATACCGAATATTCGACAACACTCAACATTGGCATGTTCCTTCAGTAAATATTGTTATTTTATTGATCTGGATATATATCAGATGTTCTATAGATATACAAACCCTCGATCCGAAGAAGATAAATATAATCAGCTGTTTTATATTTATTTTATTGGTGTAATAAATCTCCAATTGTTACATCAGAAAAAGTGTCGCCAGATACACAAATTTCAAAAATCACACTGTACACGTCATACAGTTATGAATCCTAGCGTGGATATTGCCTGAATATCGTCAAACTATATGAAAACCTGGACGATATTTTTTCTAGTTTCTCAGATGAGTAACATGAAACAAGTTTTTTTTTATACACTTACGCGAGAAACAGTCCTTTGGAGATATTGTTGTAACTAACTGTATAAGAATCAACTTTTCTCTGATGTGCATAAACAGATCTTCAGCAGTTAATTTTTTTTCTTCGTCCATGTAAAGAGCCTTTTTTTATTTCTTTTTTTTGTTATTCTTGCTATTAGATATCTGTAAGTCTTCGCTCTTATACATGGTCAATGTGTTCTAGTCGTCGTGTAGATATATTATTCATTAGATTACATAAATAAAAGAGACGTGTTGTGCATAGTAAAGAGACAAAAAAGAATTAATAAAAATGCAATGATATTGTTTGATAAATTTAACTAAACAAACGATATTAAAATGAGCGCACTTGTTAGAACAAAATCTGTTGATAGTGATTATGATCATTTGTTAAAATTCATCGTTTTGGGTGATCTTAATGTCGGGAAAACAACGTATTTGTATCATTTTGTACACAATACCTATTCAAATTTCAAATCAACTGTTGGTATCGATTTTTATGAAAAACGTGTAACATTTAAATCAAACATTAATATTGGCGCCAAATATCGTTTGAAATTACTGTTATGGGACTCAGCTGGACAGGTAAGGCAAACAGAAGCCATTCGAGACGTGTGAGATCCCTGAATTCCGGCAGAATTCCTCGCATAATAATTTCCCTTAAACAGCTCCCCCAATGGTTGATGACTAGCCGGATCTCGCGGAATTCGAACTGGTATAGGAGATTATTGCACTGCAGCTGGAATTCTGTCAGAATTCCCGATTTTCTAGCAGAATTACCTTGAAATTCTGATTTCTATAAGAAAAACTCCATTCAATTAAGAATAAACATATTTCTAACACTCGGAATTCCGACCTGATTTCGATATAAAAAGAAAATTCGACTAATTGTTCAGGAAAAAAATTCTAATAAACAATGTGAGAATTGCTACAGCGGAATTACTGTGGAACTCCACAATTCTGATTTCTATACAAAAATTTTTCTTTGACTGTAGGTGATATTCCAGTTGGAATTCCGGAAGTGGTCTGCTTAAGCGAAATTATTATGCGGGAAATTCAGGATTTCCACACTGCTGAACTATTCATGATGGATAAAACCACTAATTGTTTCCCATTGACTGAACGAAAAAGGTAATCAGAATTCGACATGTTCGGTTGATTGTAATTCTTGAGTCGCTAGCGATACCTGAAATCAACGAATTAAGAAAACTCATTTTTATCCTGACTAAACGTGATATAGAATCGAGAATCCAAGATACTTATGCTTTCTATACTGCAAATCCTTGGTTTCGCACACACGTGCTCTCTGATGATGCTCAGATTACATGGTTCGTTAAGCCTTTAGTCAAGTAGACGGAGTGCGCCAGCATGAATGATATTACTTGCTTATATGGAAAATCAATCTTAAAAAATAGTCCGAATTAATTTTAAAAGTTTCCTTTTGAACAAATTTACTGAATTGATTTTTGTTTTATTATTTTTTGTTGAGGAACGTTATCGAAGTTTAACAACATCCTTATTTCGTGATATAATGGGTTTTATCTTAATGTTTGACGTAACAAATGAGTCGACCTTTTTATCTGTACGCAACTGGATTACATTTATTCAAACTCATTGTTATAATTCTGAGCCACAAATCATTTTGATTGGAAATAAAATTGATGCGGATAATAGACGATTTGTTGATACCGTACGGGCAAAAGATTTAGCCGATGAATTACATGTTGTTTATATTGAAACAAGTTCTGTTACCGGTCATAATGTTAAAGAATCCATGGAATTGTTAATTGAACAAACAATGAATCAAATGGAATTAGCCACTCAAAAATATTATAAATCATCATCAACAATTGATATCCGAGAAATGCCAACAAAATCAAAAACACTGATGAAAAAATTATATGAAAACAAAAATCAATGTAATTGTTAAATGTTTATTAAATTCTTTTTGTATAAGGTATGTAGAACTGTTAATGTCAATTTTTTACGTAATTTTTATAAAAGAATAGATGAAATAATTTTTTCCAAATTAAAAGAGATTAGTTATGCTAATTATCATTTATCAACAGTTTTTGACAATTTTTTTACAAATCATATCAGTCAGTCAAAAGAATTAATGTCGATGTTTGACTCCCTGGAAAAGTAATCAACACTCGCGTTCCACATCATATGAATATGTAGTTATTGCAGACTGATCATAAAGATTTATATTCTGACATCTTAGATTATTTCATCCAGAGCTGGGCAAGTACCAGTCTGAACTGATCAACTTTTTTAACTGGACTGTGACTGGAGCTGATTATTTTCGAGATGTGACTGGTTTTCCAGATCAGTCCTTCAAATTTTGGGTTTTAGTGTAGAGAAGGATCTTTGATACAGGCATTTAAAGAAACAATGTCATTTTGGGAAAAAGATGAAAGACAAAACATCTAAATCATAGGAGCGAATGGGAAAAATTGTTTGGCTCGAATTGATGTTTATAGGACTGAGAGTTGACTGTGACTGGAACAACAGAGAACTTGTCCATCTCTGGTTCCATTAGTATACCTTTCAAACTGTGCTTGACGACAGTTTGACGAGGAATTTCATTCTTGCCATGTGAAGAATTATATTTCTCAACTGTGTATTTTTCTAAAATTCGAAATAAAAAAAGAATAATCATTGATTAGAAAATTACGTACGTTTCTGGGAAGTATTTTTGTGTATGTATATAATATACGATCTATGTCAACATTTTTGTCATTATTTATTGTTATGTAACAAATATTTCTATAATAAGATTGTCAGTGCACAGCAAATTTCTTTCTGTCCATGTCAGAATATCAGCCTATGTTTGATCGATGTGCCTGAAAGATTTAAATCGCCATTAAAATTCTCATATTGTTTCTAGAAAAGTATAGATCGTTGAAGAAATTTATAGAAATATGTTAACTTGGATACTGAACAACTGATTCAATTTTTTTCTAGTTGGATACAATAATTATATATGGAATTTTGTTATACTTTTTGATTTTTTTCTCGTTCTATGAATGTTATCTGAACATAAAATATTATCAACATGTGATAGAAAACAAGTTGCATAAAAACATTAAAAACACACGACAACAAAAATGTACAGTAAATTCAAAAACAATATAGACTTATAACCAAAAAATAGTAAAATATAACCAACTAATAGAAAATCTTCGTTTGGGGAAAAAAAAAGAAGACAATAGTTTGATACTCGACAAAGCTCTTAATGGGCTGTAATACCTTCATTAGAAAAGTATCAAAAAATTCCTATACAAACAAAGAAAGAGAATTTACTTCTATATAGTAGGGTTTTATAATTGAGAGTTGATGAAATCAAAAAAAAAATTTGTAGAATAATCTCTGTATCGGTTGAAGTAAGTCTACCTGGTACAATAAAAAATATTAGAGTATGGAATGTAACAATCTATAGTCCTAATTTACTGTAACTCATAATTTAAAAATCTATAGGGAATTTTACAACAACCAATTCATCAAAAACACTCCGACTAGTTATAAATACACATTATCAGGATGAAATATCACCGATTATATGCGTTACCATAGTCATTTGTTGATTTACCTGTTTTATCTTTTTTACATTTGATATTTGTCTACCAAGTTCATCTAATGACATTATTCTTGATTCTAATGACATTCTCATGGCGTAAGATTGAGCACTTGTTTCCGTAATCAATGATCTCGGATCTATATGATTATATTTTCCAGCTTTGAATTCAAATTTTGAAAATGGTAAATGGGTATGCCAACAATGTAAAACAAGACGTAAATTTTGTTTCATATCGTTACTTTGATTATTTGTTGTCGATTGATCAAGCATTTCATTGGCAATTATCACTTTTAAATTATTAGCAATAACTAAATGATTTATAGCCAAATGTTGACCATAGAGTAAAAGTACGCCAAAATGCCAGTCAGGCCAAAGAATTGTTCCCACTTTGCCATCTCTCTCTGGAGCAGAAAATTCATTAATAGCCAAATACAGCATGCAATCCAGCGTTAAATTTGCGATCAAATATGCTGAGTAAGGCGGACCTAACCTGTTTAATCGAAAAAAAATCATTATGAGTCTATGATAATTGATTTGAGGCAGGATCTAACATCTGTAATTAGACTGAAATTCGCTCGATAAATCTCATTTTCATTCTATAAACAGTTTTAGTTGACTCTAAAAATCTTACCATGTTGATCCCATTCCACTCATATTTTTATACATTAAATTCATATCTCTGGCAATTCGACGTAATTTTCGTCGGTTATAATCTGTACCATAACCTCCCAAGCCAACAAGAATCGATGAATTTTCTGGTATGTAATTTGAAAAATTTCTTGTTAAAAATATATCAGTATCCGCTCTAAGTACATAATCATACATTTTAAACGCCATATAACCTTCAACTAAACAATTGATCGAATCGATATAAGCATAAGTTTTCAAATTCTTATATAATGACGATGAACGTTCGTTATTAAATGTATTTCTATCGAATATATTAGGTATCTTCAATTCGTTGTTTTGATAATCGAAAACTGTTTTCATAACGCTTTCATTACGCGAAGCAATTGGCATGTAAAACATAATTCGACATCGAGGTGGTTCATTAACATCTTTTCGAATTTCATTAATACAATTTAAACTTTTGAATGCTGCCGAAAATTGATATGTGAATATAATTAAATCTGTACGCCATTCTTTTGGTTCATCTAACATCATTTCAAGCCATGAACGACTTAACCATCGAACTTCAGGTAAATACGATTGTTCCTGTTCATGAGGATAATAAATAAGAATAGCGCGTATAATAACATTCGTTTCGCTAGATTGTTTTAACGGTTTCGCATTTTCTACTATACGAGATAAGGACAGATCATTCACTTTATGCTTGTAGAAGCGATGAACAAGTTGAAATGGTTCATATACAAATAATACAATAAATGATAATGCAACAGTCGATAAAAGAAGATAAGTTGATTTCCTTAATCTATTCCACATAAATTCTATGTTCTATGGCCCCCGTGATACTATAGAGGTCCGTTCAATACTGGCCTACATTACTATATAAACGTGTTTGTAATAGGAATAAGAAGACTTAGTCGTCATAAAAGAAAACACCTTATTAAACAAATAAAAGTAATATCATTAATGAAAGGGATATGTATTATTAAAACTGGTTAACTAAATGTTTAAAGAACATGATGTCTTTGGTGATCGTTGTTGTTCATACCAAATAATTAACTTTCATGCATTTACACAGTCTATATAAAGAAAAAAAACAAACAGTTCTAGAGATTATTTTTTTCATTGAGTAGTATATTTTAAAGCTCTATGCTATTTTTAATCTCTCGCGAATACGGACATTATTACTTAGTTCTTTTTTCTCGGACGGAAAGTCCGGGATATCTACAAATGAAAAATGTAGGATTATTTGTCACTTTTTATCATAAGCACGCAAGTGTTTTTGCATAGTTACATCTATATTACCTCTGAGCATTTTCTTCTTGTATAGTACAACTCTGAATGAGGTATTGTTGACGAGTTGCCTGAAGATTACATGAATTTTCAGGTCTTCATTATGACAGAAGAGAGAATTTCTTGACCCTTATTGCTGGTAGACTGTATACAGTCTAGTATACTAGATGAAACAATAGTAGATAAGCGCAGTCAACCTCCCCTATTCGAGAATTTTCACTGTTTTCTAATTTTTGATGAAGAACGTAGGAAAAAAGGTCTTAATCTTGAAATTTTGGATCACAGTGTACAGTAGAGGTACTATATCTCATTATCCGCAGTGTTACATGAATTTTCATCCAAAAAAATGTCTTTTATAGGCAAGACGAAGAGGTTGTTCAGCTATTTAGTAGCGTTTTCTGACTAATTTTTTCAATTTGGAGCTTGAAACACAATTTCTTCCTTAGCAACGAATTTTTCGTGTACTGTTCCTGAGTTAAAATTCATTCGAGATCTTATAGATTCAGTGGTGGATCCAGCCTGCGAGTGGTACGAGCGGCCGCTCTTACCTTTTTGATATGTATGAGCTGCTTTGTGAAATAACTTCAGAATGTATACTTTGTTTTCAGGTGTGAAGTAATACGCACTCTCACAAAAAAAGATCAATTTAATATTATCTTGAAAGGCTTGTTTAAAAACCGCTCGTACTGCTGAAAATTTCTGGATCCGCCACTGTATAGATTGAATGTAACAAAACCGATTTGAAACCAGTTTTATTTCATTCATACTGTTTTCTCTGTTATGTTGAACTGTGAGTATTTCAGTACAGTGAACATTCAATGGTGCTGGCTGTTTAATATCAAGAGTTTCAATTGATCATGAAGTTAATTATCAGACTTAATACACCATCCAGCATACGATTACTACAAGAAAATTTTACTTACCACAATAATGAGTAACGACTCTCTAGACAGTTACGTTTTTAATGTAAGTGCTACACATTTTTTCGCGTTCTTTTATCTATGTAATTGTAATAAGAGTAAAGAGAGTCGATCAAAATCTTTTAACATTCGATTTATTTAGACGTTACAGGGAGCAGGAAAGTTTGTAGGTTAAGTGAAAGATGTAGTATAACAGTTCATTATCTGTCCAGAACTCACGTACATAAGAAATATACCGAAATCTTGTCGCCATTGAGTAAAGAAACAGGGTGAAATGTAGAGTAAGTTTTATTCAGGTTTTTTTATATGAGCTCTGACTAATAAAAGGAGAAAAACATTAATTCAAAACTTAGAGAAAAATATATAACATTCTAAATATCTCAGTAGCTTGCATATGTTTGAAAGAACTTTCGATCAAAATACATCGAGAGCAAAAATTAAGAACAAATATCCATGATTAAAGTAGTTCTGAGATTTTGTATGTTGATTAGAACAACTTGATTCTTGCATTTGCTCTTGACATATCTTATATATATAAATAGTTTTATATAGACGAAAAGAAAGAATATTTATTTATTCATATTATAGGCATATCTCGTCGATATTTCTCTGCTATTTCTTTTTTCTATAGACGTGATCAAAACGACACACGACGATTATAGGCTGTAATTATAAATAATACGAAAACGAATTGGTTCAGAATTTCAGATTTATCTAATATATCGTGATAAGGGAAAAATGGAAAATCTATTAAATAAAATTTCATAGATTTATGATGACTGCTAATGAACTACGTCTTAAAAGAGATACAAATCCATATTTTACAATGTATCTGTTTTAATCAATTAAAACGTATTTCTTTTGAGAAACGAATATTTTGGCAAGAAATTGCGTTTCTCAAAAGAGATACAATTATAGATATGAAATCTCTCATTTTTCCAAAGAGGTATATTATCTCTCATTTCTATATTCCAAATAAAAATTAAATTAAATAAGAGGTAAAAGCAATCAAGATTATTTTAAGTGTAATTAATTTATTTTTCAAAAAGAAGTTAATTTGTCAACTATTTATAGATCGTAAACGTCAACTGTTGTTTCGAAATGTTTATAAATAATACTGCTCAAAGCAATGTTGTCTCACTGTTCAAAAAACTATTATGGATTTTGTACGAAAGCGAAGTCAAAAAGGCGCTTCTGCCATATTGTTCAAAAACAACTCTTTTTTATAAGAATATTATAAATAAATTTATAAATGACGTCAATGTATAAATAAAAAAACAATTATTTGGAAGTATGTAAGAAAACTCGTGATTCGGATATTAGCACGGATGAGGATGAAGGCGGCGAAGATTAAAATTACAAACAGTTGACAAGTTAACTTCTTAATTAACTTCTTGAAAAATAAGTTTTTTTTTAATATAAGTACTAATTACCATCACTTAAGATAATCTTAATAGCTTTTGTCTCTTATTTAATTTAATTTTTATTTGGAATATAGAAATGAGAGATAATATACCTCTTTGGAAAAATGAGAGATTTCATATCTATAATTGTATCTCTTTTGAGAAACGCAATTTCTTGCCAAAATATTCGTTTCTCAAAAGAAATACGTTTTAATTGATTAAAACAGATACATTGTAAAATATGGATTTGTATTTCTTTTGAGAAGCTACGCTGCTAATGACGTCGGTAGAACCTACACTTAGGAAAGAAGCGGAAAGGAAAATGAATAAGTAACAGAAAACAAGAAAAATAAGCAGAACTATAGTGTATATATGATTTATTAGAATTAGAAAGATATGACAATATTATATTAGTATTAAAGCTACAATGTACAATTTAATAAAGAGCAAACACACCTGGAAAATATCCTCATACTAAATATAATTCATGATGAAAGTCACTGACGTTTCCTTGATAACCTCAGTACAAACTAATCTCTAAAGTAATTTCTAATCTCCACACTGAATTTTGATACATAGCATGGTCATTTGGGAATAGAGTAGTATTGATTACTTTTTAATCTTACTTTAATAATTTTTCATATTTATAAAATATTTGAACTGTTCTACTTTTATAAATGGTACTGACATACCTCATTTACTTATTTTCAACGAAAAAGACCTATAATAGTTCTCAAACATCAGAAGTGTCATAATTTTCACATTAAAACAGTCACTTCTTCTTCATTTTTTTTTTCAATTTATGCAAATGATCGTAAGAACAAAGACGACAATGCATAATATGTGAGTTTGATCAACCGTTTATGTTTCATGCATAACAGCAACAAGATAAAAAAACAGAATTGTTGAATAGAAGACAAAAAAATAATAAGGAGAACCGAACATAGAGTGCTATAACTGTCAGCATGTAGATAAATGATTAAAGAAATATATAGTGTGATATTTTTTTGTTTTTACGTTCTGGAATAGTCTGATCAACAGTAAAAGAGCAATACAACATAGATCTTACTCATATAGAACAACAGTAATAAACAACAAAATAATTACACCTGCATGTTTGCTTAAAAACTATGGTGAGCATCATATAGTTGTTAACGAGAATTTATTCCATTGTAATTTTAAATGATAAAACAAAAGATGAAAGTTTGCTATTACAATACTTCATGACCTAATGGATAGATACGGTGTTATGTGCCAAATATATACACAGATCGAGGACTATTTTAGATTCTAAAGACATATTTCATATCATACAAGATATCAAAAACTTGCTTCCTTAATATCATAGTGACACAATTCCTAGTCAAGTTGTTGTACAAAAAGAAAACTAAAGCAAACTTACATTTTTTTTCTAAACTGTTTTCTGTTGTTAAAATATGGACAAAAAGACTAATGGATTAGAATCAAAAAGTAATAGAATTATTTTACTTTTCTAGCTTATATTCTTATTAACAAAAAATTCTACTACTTTAGACACTTAACACATGCGAAAATATAGTATAAGGATGAACAATTGTTTGTCAATCACTCTTCATGTTATTTAAATAAATGGAGAAGCATCATCACGTTCTCTATTATACATTTCTCTCTCTCTCTCTATATATATATATGTATATCAAAGGAATAAAAAATTAGATGAGCAGGAAACAGTTTTAGCACAACATATACACATCGATACTGGACGCGTTCAAACATAAACACATTTTATAGTTCTTGACAATAAACTGGAAGAGAATAGAAAGGTCATATTTGCTCTAATACCTTTTTAAATACACTATGTAACTAACTAACACAGACACGATCATCCAGAATATATTTAAGTCAAAATTAGCGAAATCTTAATCCTATCATGGAGTTCATTGCTTTAGTTTTATAATAATAATTACCTGACTAGAATGAAGAACAAATTTATATATTAGTCCATAGATAATAAATTATTCAAATTCTTTCAATTTAGCACCAAGTTGTTCTAATGACATTAGTCTTGATTCTATTGCTATACGCATTGCATAGGCTTGAGCTGTTGGCTTATCAATAAATTGTTTGGGATCTGTCTTATTGTAGTGACCCATTTTAAATGCAAATTTACTAAAGGGTACATCAGTATCTAAAATATTCATAGATATACGTACGCGAAAATTTTATCAGGAAAAAGCAACGAGTTAATAAAGAATACTTACGCCAACAATGTAAGACAAGACGTAGATTTTGTTTCATATAGTTTGTGTCATTGTTTGTTGTTGATTGATCAAGCATCTCATGGGCTATTCTCACCGATAAATTTCGCTGAGCTACAAGATGGTTAATTGCCAAATGCTGACCATAGAGTAAAAGGACACCGTAATGCCACTCGGGCCAAAGGCTAAAATAAACCAAGAAGTGTAGGATGAACAATAAAATTTTAATGATAGTTCCTTACATCGTTCCCACTTTGCCATCACGTTCAGGCCCAGAAAACTCATTAATTGCTAAATACAACATACTATCCAATGTTAAATTAGCAATAAGATAGGCTGAATAAGGTGGACCATACCTAAACAATAATTCAAGACAATTTGATTACGTTTTTTTAGAATAATTACGAAAATTCATTAATGACGTATTAATGCTTTTAGATGCAGATAACTCATAGGGGAAAAAAAGTACTATTTTCGTATAGCGCTTGCCGATGCTTACAGCACTTTTTTCAAAACTAGTGCTGCTTGTTTCCCCTTGAGATAACTCCAACAAATTTTTTTAAGAGGTATTGCAATTGACTCTATTATAATGGTTAATTACCATGTCGAACCCATCCCACTAATATTCAGATGCATTAATTCCATATCTTTCGCAATTCGACGTAATTTTCGTCTGTTATAATCTGTTCCGTAACCTCCACCGCCTGTTAACAGAATACAAGGATCGGGTACGTATTTGGAAAAATTTCTTGTAATAAATATATCTATATCTGTTCTTAATACATAATCATACATTTGAAATGTTGAATAACCTTCATAGATTGCATTTATCGAATCAATATATCCATATGTTCTTAAATTTCTATACAAAGATATTGATCGATCATTATTGAATGTTTCTTTATTGAACACATGTGGTATAGTTAAAATACTGGTGTTGTTCTGCGACGTTCGTTCATCTGCAAAAGCATTTTCGAAATTATTTTTCGTGTTATTATCGTTTCGAAGAGTAATTGGAATATAGAGTATAATTCGACATCGAGGTGGTTCATTAACATCTTTTCGAATTTCATTAATACAATTTAAACTTTTGAATGCTGCCGAAAATTTATATGTGAATATAACTAAATCAGTCCGCCATTTATCTGGCTCATCTAACATCATTTCGAGCCACGAACGATATAACCATCGTATTTCGGGAAAAAAATATTCTTCTTGATGATAAGGATAATAAGTAAGAACAGCGCGTTGAACAGGATCAGATTCTTGACGATTTTCACTACAAAAATGCGTATTGGAGAGATTTGAGGATGGAATAACAACAGATGGAATTGTCGTATTTATGACCAATCGAGTTGTTTCTGTTATTGTCGATACAATTTGAGAGGCAATTGCAGTACCGATCGTCGGCCCTACCTTATTCAATGGTAGTGAAGGAGATGGTTCTGTGACTTCTGGTGAAGCCTGTTTCTTGTACATTGAGAAAAGAATAATGAAGAAAAGCAAAAAGAACCCATAACCAATTAATTTTGTAAGCTTTCGTATCATCTGACTGCTATAAAATTAAAACTAATATTTTATTTTCTGGGTGTTGAATGTATCACTCTTTAAGATGCTGAACATATGATTGAATTTCAGGTGTAGAGGAAATGGAAATGTCAAATTTCTATTGAAAATGCATGATTTTATTCGGATTAAATCGTATGTTGAGAGATAATGTAAAATCTAAAATGAATAAAGAATGGTTATCTGAAGAATCAACGTGCGGCATCAACAAATATCTCCAACACGTTTCACAGAAGCTACAAGAATTCACTTTTTATTGTTGACTCTGTCTCCTCTTGATTGATTGTGTTCTTGAAAATGCATATAAATTGCTTTATTTTTAATATGTAGCATGCACTTTTTTTGTCCCCTACACAGAATATCTTTATACAACAAAACAAATTTTTTCCTACTTATCTGTGACACAGAAGGCATCCGTTCACTTGAAGCATATCATCGGAACAAAAAAAATAAAGTTAGTTCTGAGTTGCTGAAAAATGCTTTTTCGTATCCAACACACTGGATAACTCAGAAGATTTTCTATTTTTGTCAAGGAGTATTTCTAAAAGTATAGGAAAAGTTTCGAAACAAAATGGTGCAAAAAAATTTTCATGGAAAAATAATATTAGTTGAAAAATTCTCCTTAAACCTTTGAAAGTATTCCTCGCGAAAAATAGAAAATCTTCGAGATTATCGAGTGTACTGAATACGAAAAAACACTTTTCAGCAACTCAAAACCAACTTTATTTTTTTTGCGGTGATATGCGTGATATGATGTATTCAAATATTTACTTTCTCCTTCTGATATACAAACACATGATGAAATGTTGTTATTACAACCGATATGTGGAAAAAAGTCACAAAGCTTTTAGTAAAACATTTTTTAAAACGAAAAACACTCACTATACGATCGGAGCACGATAAAAGTATTCATATCTTGCTGATTTAAGTTTTATTAGGACGCACGAGGTAGAAAACACAAATGCTTAACTTTTACTTTACAACAAGACTTTTATAAATTTCAAATAAGAATTTTACAGTGAATTTTCATGTTTAAACTAATGAATGGCCGTGCAGTTTCTCTTAAATGTGTTACTGTTGTTTTTTTTTTGATTTTTTTGTATGATTTGTTTGTATTAAAATTTACTTTCTATTCAAAATCTTACATTTGTATTCTTTTGGCTCTTTTTTTCTCCTTTTATCTTTTACTTTTCGCTACCATACAATGTCTGTAAATAATCAACTATAAACTCGTGCTGTTGTATTAATAATGTAATTAGATATAATATGGGTGTGAGTCAGAACTACAGCCGATAGTCTTATCTAGTTCTTGCGTTAAACTTCGCTTATAGAATAAATTAAGCCGCCATATATCATTGTTATATTATAAGTTTTGCTTATTCAAGTCATAGGTGATAACACGAGAGACAGAATCAAAAAAAAGAAAACGAATTCATTGTCTCTTTTTTTTTGCTGATATAAAGTGTTTCAAACAGAAAAAACAAAATTTAAACTTATTGAAGAATTCCTTGAAGAGAACAAATAAATAGAAACCAATTTCAAAGGGGAAAAAGGTCCCGATGCAATAGTATGAGAGTAAATGTACTTTTGATCACCAAAGTCTTTAGATACAAATGATCATCAATTTTTTCAGCATGCATCTCACATTTTTATTTCTTAACAAAGTACAATGTACAACACAAACATATTGATTGAGATTTTAACCAAATGAACAATAAAGCTGTGCTAACTCTCTTGGGATGCCCTGTTGCTTTTCGTTTGCCTAATGGCTGAATACGTATTTTATCGCTACCCTGACGTGTTTATCACTCGGCTTGTTGTACCATTATTAGTATATTCGTGTAAACATTCTGTTGGATTAGCAATTTTATTTAACTTGTATCAAGTTAGGGATAAAACACGTATTCAGCCATTAGGCAAACGAAAAGCAACAGGGCATCCCAAGAGAGTTAGCACAGCTTTATTGTTCATTTGGTTAAAATCTCAATCAATATGTTTGTGTTGTACATTATACTTTGTTGGGAAATAAAAATGTGAGATCAAAAGTATCTTTTTTTGATGATCAAAAATGTTGATACCCCGGTATGACATCCTTTTTCAAATACTATTCAAAAACGCTAGCAGAATAGACATTAAATAAAAATCATGTTCGACTGATTCTAGTTTACCACACAAACATCCACCAGTAACTTCGATGTTTCTGCCCCATAGATCATACTTCAATCAAGAAAAATTGTTACACATTTAATTCACATAACATATTATATTTACACTCAATATTTTTTAATTTAAGCTATTGGATAGTACGGATAGAAGTAATGATGTATTGCTGTTCGAAGAACAATTAATCTGAAGATCGATATATTAGTAGTTTATTATCGATTATTTTAAAATTCAAGATCAAAATGTACAGTGGGTAACAAAATTATCCATCTAACATGTCACTTTGTCTTCTTTACCATTTGAAAAACATACATGCTCGAGAGACGCCGTTTCCACCATCATTTAGAGGGCATTATCTAGTCTATATTTAGGTAATATGAGTATTTAATTTCGTTTTGTTTTTGTTTATATGACAAATACCGAAAACATGCCGCTTTTCTTCAGTGAAAAATTATTCGCCCACCTTTGAAAAAAAATTCATTTCGAACAAAAATTGATATTAATGAAAGATTTTAATTTAGTTTATGATACTGTTCTGAAATGAATAGATCGAAGTGAAAAAACTCAGTCGGGTCATGAAAACTTATTTCTTAAGTAAAAAAATTCTATTTGTTCTTTTTTCTCGGATTTTTCAGACGATAGAATTTTTTTCAAAATATGAAGCCAAATTTCGACAAGAGCTGGGTCGTACAGATCGAGACACATCGACATACGTGCTTTGGATGGCATTTAAACATATTTGAATAGAGATGGGTAACTCCAACTCCAGAGCTGAAGTTGTGTTTTTACTAGATTAGAGTTGATTTGAGCTCAAATTTTTTCAACTCCAACTCCACAACTCCAGTTAAACATTTTTACAACTCTGAAAATTTTTTCCTTTTTTTTGTTACACCCGTGGAGAGAATGTGTACACAGAGTGGTTTTCTTTTCCGATCACATCGATGTAGAACGATAAAAAATACACTTTTAAAAGTAACATTGTTGAAATGCAATTTTGAATTGTTAAACTGATTTTTTTGTGTATACTTTTGTAAACAAAAGCGAAATAAACAACTGCTATCAAAATAAAGAAGAAAATTAATTAAGACAAATAAGTTTCTGTCGGAGTTGCTCATCTCTGCATTCGAGCTTATTAAAGATCGAAAAAAGACAAAACATCGGCTTCATTTTCTTCAATGTTTGTTAATAAAAACCAAATTGGAAAAATTGTTTCGCATGATAAATTCAAATCAACCTCATAAACAGATAGAGCGCAACAAAATGTACTAGAAAATATCTAATAAGCAAAAGCAGAACTCATTTTTCGCGAGTTATTCTCGTTAGAACAAAATCATAGCTCAAATATGATAACTTGAAATAGACGCCAACGATGTTCTACACAAATGAAAACATTTGCGCCTAACCTGTGGAGATACTTCTGATGAGAAGTTACAAAACTTTAGGTTATTTCGTAAGAGTTCATTTTTCAGAAAATATTTCCTAGGTAATAACGCAAGGTTGTCATCGATGTACTGTCAACGATATTTATACATCCACATATTTATATTAATTATGCCAAAAAACTTGTTCCGTTCAGTTTTTTTCGTTTGGTTTCCCATGTCAAATGTTTTTCAAGATTTCTGCAGAAACTCGCGTTTCTTTTTACACTTTTAGGACTAAATAATTCAAAGCCAAAAAATGCAGCATTTTTCTTGCATTGTGATTCTTTTATGCAAAAATAAGCAAAAAATGAATTTTTTCTGCCTTTTAGCCCCGAAAATTCGTTTTGCTGTATATTGCGTATATGTTTTTAATGCAATTTTTGCACAATCTTTTTTTCGTGGAATAACGCAAAAATCCGGTGATGAAAGAACGTACACGAGTTTTTGCCTTAGATATCTCGCGAAATCTCGACATCGGTAAACTAATCAATTTTTAAGCAAAATGGTGTGACACATTCAAACTGAATATGTTTCCTATGTTCACTTTCTTGGTTTTCTCGTCTTACACAGTCATTAAATGAACGGTTCGGATATAAACAAGAGCCAAGATTTTGTTCAGCCTCCATTCTTACAGGGAGGACATTTCGAAAAATTTCTTACCAAATATTCAGTTGAAAAGGGTCCGTTTATATAGATATGAGGTTGCACAAATTCTGCATTTTTATGCTGAGTCATCATCATGACTCAAACGTATTTTGCGTTATTCCACGAAAAAAAGACTATGCAAAAATTGCATTAAAATACATATGCGCAGTACATAGCAAAAAAAACTTTCTGCGATAAAAGGCAGAAAAAGTTGATTTTGTTTATTTTTGCATAAAAAAACACAATGCAAGAAAACGCGCTGAAAAATACTGTATTTTTTGGCATAGAATTGTGTGGTCTAAAACGCGAAAAAAAAATGCGCGTTTCTACAAAAATTTTCAAAAAAGATTGACACGAGTGTTCATTACCATTACTATAGTTACTATATTTTTGGACTGGACTGAACTCAGAATTTTGAGTCCATACGGAGCTCTGATATCTACATTCTAACTTTAAAAAATTGGTTTTCGAATGAAAATCTTCAAAATAATAGAAGGATCTCAAATTTCGAAAAATTCTTCGGTTTAAAAAAAGTAAAGTTCAAGTTTTTTTCTTTTTTGGTCTTCTGACTTTTCAAAAGTATTTTTTTCGAATTCAGTATTAAAAACTGAGTATGAGAATGATACTTGATCGAAGTTGAAGTCAAAGGTCTATCGAGTATGGACGACTTGGACTCTCCCTGTA